CGCTTCCCGCTCTCATCCCTTCCTCTCCTCAGTCTGCTGTCTCTCTTTCTTGCCCACCCTCTTGAGAGGGTAGGCAGCTCCCACGTCCTGAGGGACCCCACCCCTCAGGTCCTGCACTGTTCTCAGAGAAGACAGCAGTGGGGGTGTGGAGGGCCGGGGGGCAGGGGGGGCCTGCCTTCCAGCATGAGTCTCCATCCAGAGGTTGACCATGTTCTGACTTTATAGGTGAAACCCAAACATGAAAAGCGGCTTGAGAGCTGAGGCACCCTGACCACCCCCCCATACCCCCCCCCCGACCTGGAGCCCCAACGTGGGACCCCTAACCACGAAAATCACCAGATGGGTCTGAGGGCCGGCGAGTCAAAGGGGAGAGTGGGGATGGGGATGGGGTAGGATTTGGAAGCCAACGTCAAGTTCTCTGGAGATGATGGCGCGAACTGTATGGGACGTTCTCTGGCTCTGCTGAGGTTGGGCCCCAGGGGAGACTCCTGATCACAAACACCAGGCGGCATTGTGGGGGGTCCTCAGGGCACTGAGAAGAATCACCCAGGATAGAATTATGGGGAGGGACCCTCCTCAGCCTGGTGCCCAGGCTCTGCTGGGCAGTCCTCGGTGAAGGTGTGTGGGCGATGTGCCTCCCAGGACCCTGCCAGCCTGCGAGCTTCCCCGGGCTCTTCGGTGATGCCCTTCTCTGAGCAGGCGCTGGGTCCCAGCTGCAGGCCCCGTAGGACCATCTAGTCTGAGCCCCTCATTGTACAGGTGGGAAGCAAGACCCAGGGCGTGAGGTGACTTGCCCAAGGCCACACAGAGCCCGGGCAAGCGCTCCATTTCCTGACTCCAGCCACACACAGAGTTCCCCTTTGCTCCTATGACCCTCCCCTCCTCCCCTTGTCCCCGGGAGTCCCGAGACCAGGTGTGCTGGTGCCCTCATCGCAGATGGCCTTGGCAGAGCTCCTTTCTGCCGGGGACACCGGGTGAAGGGGCAGAGCTGAGCACCTGGCCCGAAGGGCAGTGCGCGGCCTGCAGGCTCCCGGCTGCCAACTGTTGTGGAGACGCTGGCCCCCCGTCCAAGGACCTGGTCACCAGGGCCAGGCATATTCCTGTGCCCACACAAAGGGGCTCGGCTGAGTGCAGGGAGAGGAAGCCCTGGAGCCAGGCCCGTGCCCCAGAAGCAGATGACATACTTCGCTGCTGTCCTCCGCGTCCTCTCTGCAGCCAGGGCTACCGCCCCCCACCTGCACCATTTATTCCCTGTGAGGATGCAGCTGCGCTCCTCAGTCACTCTGCCTGCCTCCTGCTCCCCCTCCCCATCCCCTCTCTCTCTGTGGCACACACTCCCTGCTCTGTGGCCATGCCCTCTGCCCTGCAGTTGGCCCTCCCCTGGGCACAGCCAGGCTCATCTGCGTGCTCTGGCTCCCCAACACCACCTCCACGCCCCCAACCACAATCACGTCCTATTCTCTCCTTCACAAACGTGCCGGTCACACACGCTGGTTCCACGAATTTTAGGGATCCCCGGGATGTGGGTTTGTGACCTGTGTGGGGACCATTGGATGCTCAGTTCCCCAGAGCCCAGGAAGAGGTGTGTGTGTGTGGGGGGGGGGGGGGTGGGGGGTGCTGGGAGCCATTCTAGTCTGAGCTCCTCACCAGGGGAAGCAAAGGTATGCTGATGCTGATGGGGTGGATGTGGCAGGCAGTGGGGATACAAGTCTGGTCAGCTGCTCCTTCCGTGGGCAGGGAGGGAGAGGGGGTGGAAATTTCAAAAGATCTCCGGCTTGTTGACCGGCCTCTCTATCTCTCTCTAACACACACACACACACACCACAGGCTACACGCCAAGCCTTCCCACCTTTCCCCTCCTCCTATGTCCTTTCCCCCACTCGTCCCACCTGCACAGTCCTGTTCAGCCCTTAAGATACAGCTCCCGCGAGAGGAGCCGTCCTGGGCTCTGTACCCGCCGTATTCTAGCACGTAAGGCGCGCAGTTAGTAATGAGCGGGTTTCCCCCTTTATCCAGCTGTGCATTGCTCGTGGGCACGGGATAGATTTTCCCTGCCTTTGGGTTCTGTGCTGGGAACCTGGCACCCAGCTGACTTGCTGGGTTGAACTGAGGCCGGTGTTAGAGGCAGGGTGGGAGCAGCACCCTAAAGAAGATGTAGGTTGGGAGGATCACAAGCCTAGTTCTAGAACCTTCCATGTGAAGGGAGGCTTAGGGGTGCCCTCTTCTCACCCTTCCTTGGACATCTTGCACAGCCTGTCATTCCCCTCCAGACGAGGTGGCCCTGGGCTCTGGCCTGAGGTGGCGCGGCCACTGTTGTGGGCTTTACACGGCATCCTGTCCGGTCTGCAGCCTCGCCTGGCCAGGAGCGGGGCGACCCTTGTATTTGGTTGGGAGCTGAGCCTTTGGGAGACTCTCAACCATTTGTCGTCTGTGGGTTGAAAGTCCTGGGCCTTTGGGCTTCGAATGCAGCTGTCAGATTTCTGGTCAGACTTTAGGAATGGTTTTTCACGGAGGATTTTAAGTTTTGGGGGAAGTCACCAAGGAACGGCTTTGGAATCGTTTACTTCGAGTTTCTTAAGACTAAGACCCTTTCTCACCCATCTTCTCAGAGCATGGGGTAGAGGGCGGCAGGAGGAAGGGGGCGGCAGAGGGACCTCGGGGGACTGTTCCCCACCTGTTCACATGGCCCAGTCCAAGCAGGATGCTCTCATATTCCTTTATTTCCTCCGCTGTGAAGCGCGCTGGAGTGCGGGAGCTGGTTCACAGAGTTATCGGCCGCCGAGGACACACAGACACCCACCTGCACAGCTGGGAGTGCGGAGGCAGCAGCACGGGGCCCACCCTGTGTGTGCTGCAGGGGGGTGGGGTGGGGGAGGGGGCTTCTGAAACCCACGGGAAACCAGCACAGAGTGTGTGGGGGCGGTAGGAGGACAGAAGTGGGGAGGCAGTTGCTGTAAAGTCAGTTTAACTTGAATCCTCTCTGGCTTTCGGCCACAGGGAGCGATGGAGGGAAGGGATGATGGTGATTGAGCTGCTGCTGGGTTTGCAGGAGAGGGGATGGCTCCCTCCCAGGGCTGTGCTCCCCGAGGGCCTCCTCAGAGGGGCTGAGGTTAGAGGTGTGACTAAAGGGAGGAGGCGGTTTATCCAAGCTGGAGCACCTTACAGCCCCGGGGCGGCCCTGACTCCAAGCAGGAGCCTTGGAGAAACGAGCAGCTGCAGCAGATAAGGCTGTTATGGGAGCAGGTGAAGGGAGCTGAAATAAAGTGCGCTCTGTTTCTGTAAGTTGGCAAAGTGAACAATGAGAAAGAGTCTCATGGGAGCTTCTTGATGTTAGGGGTCTAGCTTAATACAATTTCTTTAAAATCTTGGACCTTTTCTAAACCTGTCTTAAAGGGAGGCACTCATTTCTAGAACATCCATGCCACCCACCAGCGTACACACTGGGGGACTGTGAAGGGGCAGCACCCCCTAGAGGCAGGTCAGGGGAAGGCCTAGGTGAGTCAGCCCTGGGGCCCAGGCCCCCTTGAGGCCTGCCCAGCTGTACCTGGGCCAGGTGGGGAGGGTGGGAACTTCGGGGGAGGGACAGTCCGCACAGGGAATAAATAACTGCAAGGGCGGAGAGGACACAGAGGACTTGGCTTGCATTAGAGCGAGGTCCAAAGTGGAGCCGCAGAACGGAACATGAGTGCAAGAGGGGCCTTGGCGGGGTGTGTAGTTGGTGGGAGCTGAGAGCAGAAGGCATGGCAAGGTCAGACAGCACCGGGGAGCAGGCTGCATCCTTCCCTGGGCCCCCGAGATTCCCACCATTGCTCCCCCATGATCGAACAAGCCCTCCACTCAGATCTTCTTCCCAACGCGGAGCCACTGTTGCTCTGTGCCCTTTAGGCCCAGAGGAGAGAGAGACCATGTACATGGCCCCTGGCTCTTCAAGTTGGGAGCCCTTGACCTTGGAAAATCACCCCCAGGGCGGAGAAGAGGAGGGGCCCTCTGTGTCCTGCACCAGCCACCAGGTGTCACTGATGAGTCTGCCTTAGGGTGAGGCCAATGTGCACACGTGGAAGAAGCTTCTGGAAGATTTTGGGTGCCCCCTCCCCTTCTCTCGGGTTTCTCAGGAACCTCTCTGGGGTGGAAAGGACCGTGTTGTCACCACTGACAGAGAACAGATGGCAGGGCGGTGGTGGCTCTGTGTTCTCCACTGGGACACGGTCATCCCCAGGCATTAGGCCTCCTGTTCAGAGCGGCCAAGGGGGCTGTGGGACTCCCTTGGACTCCCATGGGCCCATCCCTGGGCCCTGGCTCCCACTCCTCTCCCCCTGGCTGCCTCCTGGTTCCCGAGCCCCTCTTCTCCTGGACTGGTCCTCCCCGATCTTCCTCTGGGAATGAGGAGCCCCGTTAGGAGGGTGCGAGCTGCTGCACCCGGGAGAAGCAGGGCCCAGCTCCTCCCCATGGAGAGTAGGCCAGGTGCAGGCCCCTGCGGGAACCCCACCCGCTGCCCGCCCACGGCCATGCCCTGTACTTCCATTTTGGAGAACACGGGATGGTGAGCCAGCATCATGTCTGGTGCCAGCGGACTTTGCAAGATGGAGCCCTGGCCAAAGGGACCTGGTGCTCTGCAGGGCTGCCTGAGCCTCCCTTGGGGCCACTCCTGACCATTTTCTTGCTTCCCCAGGGCCGAGATCCTGATGTCAGTCCAGGCCCAGACTTACCCAGGAGTGGCGGGGAGGCAGAGAGAGCGGGACTATGAGATCTGGAAACAGACACCTGTGCTCTGGGCCAGAGGGTAAGCATGCAGGGGGTGTCTCTGGGCTGGGTGGATCCCCTCCCTCCCAAGGCCTGGGAGGTCTCGGTCCTGAGGCTGTGGCTGGTCCCGCCTCAGGAAGGCGGGCTGAGCAATGCAAAGCTGGAGAAAGCCAGGGAGACACAGAACACGAGCGGCGGGCCCAGCGCCAGGGCCACCAGCCTTCAGGGGCGATCGGAGGGGACGCAGGGCGGAGCCAGGCCTAGATGACCACGGACTGCAGCAGACGGAAGCACATCATGAGGTCCAGCGGGATAGGCGGCTTCAGGTAGTTGCCGTCCAGCCTCAGGTAGCGGAGGTGAGGCACGTTCTCCAGATCCGAGAAGTCCTGGAAGGTGACCAGGTTGTGAGGGCAAATCTGGGTCCCGTTGATCTCTGTGGAGAGAGAAGGGGGAGGTGAGCAGGCGAGGAGGGCGGGGCTGGGACCAAGGGGACCGAGAGGAGGAAGGAGAGGGCGGACGACGGAGTATAAGGACACAACTTCTCCCAGGAATTGCCCCACTGTAGGCATGTGTGACGCTGGATAGTCGACAGACCTGGTTTACTCATTGTAAAATTAATTAATGAAGTTGGAATCGATCCACAGTGGCTACTGGAGATTTACTCTGAGGTGTCACGGAGGAAGAAAGCTGTGAGTTGAACCTTCAGAGTTGGGTAGGATTAGAGCAGGGGGGAGGCCTGGGGATGAGGTTTGATAGAGGGACCTGTTTGAATAGAGTTGTGGAGGCCAAAAGGATCATGGGAGAATCTGGGCGTGGTAGTCAGCACAGTGTGATGAAATAGGGGGAGTGAGCTGAAGAGGTTAAGCTGTGGCCCCAAATGATGGCCGGCCTTCCCAGACTGCACTAAGGACGGCTTTGACCTTCAGGCTGAGGAGTGGCATGGAGCAGGGCTGTTGCTGTGGCAGGGACGGTAGGCTATGTGAACTCTGGGGTCCTGAGGGTAAAATTTGGAAGGGCCTGTCAGGCTTATACTGTAGAAAGGCAGAGAGAGTGGGGTGAGGCAAGGTCTGAGCCATCAGTGGGAGTGGGAGTCTCCTGTGGCGTAGGCCTGAGGCACTCGGATGGGCAGAAGGTGGTCCCAGTAACAGATACAGGGCTACTAGGAGGGGAAGGGGGTCTCGGGAGGGCCCAGGGCCCACGGAGCAGGCTGAGCCTGTTGATTCTGACGTGGTGACTGATTCTGGGCTTTCCAGTGGAAAACGAGATTTCATTTTCTCCCTCGCCTTTTGCTAGATGACATCAGATGTAGCATCTAAATGAATGTTTATGCCCCGAAGCCTGGCCTCATTGATCATCTGCGGGGCAGTTGTTTTTCTCTCTTCACCATTGGGGCAGCAGGAAGAGCCAGACACAGGGATTTTCTTGCAGCTTCTGTCACGTAGGCCCATTACAGGATCACCCTGATGCTCAGCTCCCGGACCAGGGTCACCGGGAGAGGGGGTTGATTTTTCTGACTTCACCTCAGGGGGCTGGCTGTCCCCAGCAGCCTGCTCTTCCACCCGGGACCGACCTGCCAGCTGTGTGTGAGGTGTGCCTTCTGGCTATACTTTCGGCCTATACAGCATCTCGGGGAGCAATGACTGGCCTCCGTTTACTCCTTGAATCTGTTTCTTGCCAGATGTTAAAAGCCCCTCCCACTCTGCAATTACCCCAGACAAGTGAGCAAGCCTGCTCTGCCCACCACTCACTTCAAGGTTGTAGAAACTCAACACTCTCCCTCACCCCCTTCGGCGTGGCAACTGAGGGTTCCTACAGTTCTTTTAGGGGAGCTCCTCTTTCCCTCTGTCCCCCGCATCCCTGCAGCGGCTGCACCCCTGATGTTCCTCAGTGCCCAGGTCATACTCGCGCTTTTGATTTCAGTGGCCAGGTCATACTCGCGCTTTTGATTTTAAGCTTTTCTGCTGATGCTCAGCTCAGAGCTGACATTTTTTGATGGAAGCAAAATTGCAACCTCTAGTCTGTTCTTTTGGGCTGCGATGGATACCTCACGGCCCAGGACCCTGTATGTGCAGCTTCGGGGAGTCCTGCCTTAAGCATACCGTCTTACACAACCAACTATTCCAGCTCTCCAGATAGACTCAGAAAGCCCCCCCTCTCCCTCTCCCCTCAATGTGTTTTCCTGGCTACTGCATCTTCACCAGGTTATGAGGGCAAATCTGGGTCCCGCTGATCTCTATGGAGAGAGAAGTGGGGAGGTGAGCAGGCGAGGTACACACAGGTAGGCAGCATATACAGGGGTGGGCAAAGTAGGTTTACAGTTGAAATAGGGTTTATTCTGTAGTATTATTTATTAATTATTGTAATGTTGATCATTATTATTTACCTATGTTTGCCCACCCTGTCCAGCTGCCTGTCTGTGTGTACCTTTTCCAAACTTCATTTTTTGATGGAAGCAAAATTGCAACCTCTAGTCTGTTCTTTTGGGCTGCGATGGATACCTCACGGCCCAGGACCCTGTATGTGCAGCTTCGGGTGCAGAACCTAGGTGCAGACTTGGAGGGATGCCATCTCACAGCTTGCCGGTGTCCTCGACGGACAGGCCCGGGCATTTCAGAGTGGGCATTTATTTTTTATTTTACTTTATTTTTTCAGAGTGGGCATGTCAATGTCACCGTTCTGCTTTTAGGAGGATGTCCGGGACTGTATTCCGTGTCCACCCTACCGACAGGTCTGGAGTTGGGGCGGCTGAGAAGAGATGGAGAAAGAGAAGCAAGCGCCCTCCAGCCGTGGCCTTTGGGGCATGGGATCCATCCACGTTAAACAGTTATATCCTCATATCGAGTTGGTGAGAGGTATGACTACCATTCTCCCTTTGACAGACGAGGGACCTTTCCAGGGAGGTCAGCTATCTGTCCAAGATACAGACAGCGAGCGGGACGGCCATGGTTTGAAGTCCAGTGTCAAGCAGGGTGTCTCTTGCATGCCCCCACCCCGAGGCTCCTGGGAGAAGGCTGACATGGTGAGCCCCCAGCCTCCCGCCCTGGGCCTGGCCCCGCCCCCCCACTCACTCTCGATGTTGTTGTTGTTGAGGTACAGGTGCTCCAGCTTGTTGTTGATGGCGGGCACGTTGCTGATCTTGTTGTGGGACAGGTGCAGCACCAGCAGGTTGGAGATGTTGAAGGAGTTCTTGGGGAGCCCCCGATCGGACAGCTTGTTGTAGTTCAGGCGGATGAAGGCGAGGTTGGGGAACGCCTTGAAGTAGCCATTGGGGATGGTGGTGATCTGGTTGCTGTCCAGGTAGAGCTGGTGGAGGGCTTTGGGCACCTTGGGGGGCATCTTCCTCAGGATGTTGTGGGCCAGGTTGAGCTGCATGAGGCTCTTGAGGCCCTGGAAGGTGTCGGGCTTGAGGACGTGGTCGTTGAGCTTGTTGTGCTGGAGGTCCAGGAGCACCAGGTTCTCCAGCTTGCTGAAGGCGCCCGGCGGGATCCTGGAGATCTGGTTCTGGCTCAGCCGCAGCTGCTCCAGGTTCCGGGGCAGGGCGGAGGGCACCTCCTCCAGCTGGTTCTTCTCCATGTAGAGGTACGCCAGGCTGGGGAGCTTCTCCAGCACCTTCTGGTCCACCTTGCGGATGCGGTTGTTGTCCAGGTTGACCCACCGCAGGTCCGAGGCGTTCTTGAAGGACTCCACCGGCAGCTCGGTTATGAAGTTGTTCTGGAGATAGAGGTAATGGATGCGGGGCGGGATGACGGGCACCTTCCTGAGGTTGCGGCTGTCGCAGTAGAGGGCCGACGGGAAGTCGTGGGGGCAGTAGCACTCCCGGGGGCAGTCATGAAAGGCAGACGGAGGGCCCGGCGGGAGGGGAGGAGGCAGGTCTGTAGGCTCCGATGGCTCATGGGGCTGAGGAAAGCTGGGTGTGGGCCGGGCCCTGGGCCTGCCCCTGGGCCTGGGTTTTGGTTTTCTTGTGGGCTGACCTTTGGTCACTGAGGCCAAGATGAGGAGAAGTGGGAGGAGCAAGGAGAGAGATGGCCTCATGATCCGGGTGATGTGCCTGCAGGGAGGAGATGCAGGAGGTCATTAGCCACTTGGGCCTCAGCAATTAGAGGCCAGGCTCTTCTTTGCAGTTCAGGCAGCCGGGGTAGGCTCCTGGGGGGCTGTGGAGGGGCCTGTGGAAGCATTTCCCTGTTCACCTGTATCTAGCAGGTGAGAAGGTAACAAGGGCTGAGGGTCTGGGTTCCCTGCCAGAGGCCTCGCCACTCAATGGGCTCAGCCTGCTCTGGAGAGCCAGCCCTCCTGCAGAAAGCACACCGGGCTGTGCATCAGGAGTCCCGCGCTTGCCCTCCAGCCCTCAGTCTCCCCCTCTGCAGCACGAGAAAATCAGTCCTGTCCTCGTAATGGGTTAGGGTATATGAGCTATGGAGTCCTGGGGAGTTATAATCCAGACGTGTCCTTAGAGATCACACAGCTCAATGGTTTCCAAATGGTGCCCCCATTTCTATGGAGGGAGGGAGGGATGGAGATCAAGGAGCTGGCCCTGGGGCACCCCAACTCATTCCTATGCCAACCTGAGCAGCTCCGTGTTATTTTAATCTGATATTTATATCTATATCATCTATATTTATATCTTTATCTGTCTATGTCTATGTCTATGTCTACATCTATCTATCTGTCTATCTATGTCTATATGTCTATGTCTGTATCATCTATTCCATATCTATATCTATATCTATATCCATATCTATATCCATATCATCTATATTATCTATATCATCTATATCTATGCCTATATCATCTATATCTATATCCATATCCATATCCATATCCATATCCATACCTATATCATCTATATCGTCTATGTCTATATCTATGTCTAACCACAGAACTCATTTGAAAAACGAAGTTGCATTTCTAAAAACTGGTTTGAAATCCACCAATGACATGCAGACTGTACCGTTTATAAACATCAAGTACTGGAGGGAGGAAGTGGCTGCCCAGGCCAGGAAGTTATTTAATAGCAGGGCCAGGTCTCCTGCCTCCCAGGGTGGGGCCTGTGGAGACCTTGGGAGGGAAGGAAAGTGCTTCAGATACGTGTGTGTCCCCTCTGCTTGTCTCTCACCCACTGCACTGGCTCAGTGAACACTGGCCCCTGCCAGCAGGATACACACCAAGAATTCCCCTCAGATGTGGGGAATTTTCTGGAAAGAAAACAAGGAAGAGATAGAAAGCTGTGGGGAAACGACTTTCATTTCTTGTGGCCAGTTATTGCTGCTCTTTTTTAAAAAAATATTTTTTCATTGATTTCAGAGAGAGGGAGAGGAAGAGAGATAAAAACATCAATGAGAGAAACATGAGAAACATCAATCGGCTGCCTTCTGCACAGCCCCCACTGAGGACCACGGCCACAACCCTGGCATGTGCTCTGACCAGAATCAAACCCACAACCTCCTGTGCATGGGATGGTGCTCAGCCCACGGAGCCACATCGCTGGGAGGCACTGCTGTTTCTCTGTCCCCTGCAGCTGGTCACGGGAGGGATCAAGAAGAGCTTCTGCCGGCTCAGTGACAGCGGACCAGGTTGCTGGAGGATACTTTGGGGTTGCCCTTCCCATTGTCCCCAGTAGGCCCTGTGGTTCTAGATGAATTAAGCTGGGAAAATAGACCCAGGTGATAGCTCCCACAGGCCTCTCCCCTGGCCTGGCTGGTAAGGGTCAGGGAAGGGGGTTCATGTACCATCCCCTCCACAGAGCCCTCATCCTTATGACACCCCTCTGGTCTCCAGGTCGTCATCCCCACATTGCTTCTCCCGGCCCCTCTGGCTGCTTCTTCACAATTGTGGTGTCTGCCCACTTCCCTCCTCCCCCTTCAGGGGCCTGGTACACCCTGGAATGTGTTCCCCCTGTACCCAGACCCTGTGATCCCGGCCTCTGTTCAGGCCACCCACTCTCTTTCCTTTGAGCCCACATCCACTGACTCCTCTCTGCGGGGGTGACGCCTCCGCTGGCCTTGCTCAGAGGAAGACAATGGGAGCCCCTCACCAGTCCTGCCAGGTGCTCAGAAGGAGCTGAATGCAAAGAGAAACGAAAGAGAAGGCAGAGCTCAGGCCTAGAGGGTCGGAGGGAATCTCCCACATTTTTCACATACACATCCTGACTTCCAGCCTGCATGCACGTGCACACACACACACACACACACACACACACACACATGCATATTATCTGCACACGCATACACACTTCTCTGCACACACATACATATTTCTCTGCACACACATACACATACAGTTCTCTGCGCGCGCGTGTGCGCGCGCACACACACACACACACACACTTCTCTGCACATACAAATACATACTTCTCTGCACACACACACACTTCTCTGCGCACACACACACACATACTTCTGACACATTCACACTTCTGTACCATACACAGAAGCAAACTCATGTTTGTATGTGCTCTGTGTACCTGTAATCCCTTATACATAGTACACAGAACACAGGAAGAAAGGAGGAAAGAAGGGAGGGAGGGAGGGAAGGCAGACAGACACACTGGGAGGAAGCAGGGAAGAGACTGCCTGCAGCCTCTGTTGCCTCTCCACCTCCCTCTAAAGTGGTCCCTGCCAGGCCAGCTCCCCCACGGGGACCAAGAGGGCCGCCTTTCCTGGGCCTCAGTCACAGCGGAGCTGCTGCAGATTCTCGTTTTATCGACAGCCAGGCCTACAACAGTCCAGGAACACACTGAGAGGACGGAACAGAGAAGACGGTCATGGTCTAGCTACACTTGGAGTCCTGTGGCCGGACCAACGCCGCTCGGTGAACCATGAATTAATAGTTTATAAATCCTGTAATTTTCCTGACAAGAACACCATCATTTTGCATATCAGTTTTAAGGAGGCAGCTAAAGCATTAGCATACTAAAAGTAAACCTTTTTAAAAGCCCCACTTTTTGTGACCCTGACATTTTTTGTTTGGGCATTTATTTTCTTATCACCCAGAAGCCTGAAATAAACAAGCAATCTCTCATGATGTGAGGAGCCCTGCCCCAAAGAGGCCCCCCCAGTCCCTCCTGGGGCCCCTGTTTCCCGGCCTCACGTCTCTCAGCACAGCCCCTGCCGGGCCCTGGGCCCAGAGTCCCAGAGCTTCCAGCGGAGGGTGGCCAGGCCTTGCGAGGGGTGTTTCTCAGTGGCTCCAGGCCTCACGGTCAGGAGCAACAGGGCCCCAGGGAGTCACAGCTCTCCCTGCACACCAGCTCCTCACTCCTTCCCTCAGAGACGGGCACAGGCCTTCCTCCTGCCCACACCCGCCCACCCCCTTCAGGAAGCTAGGCTCTGCCCCCAGCCCTGATCCTTTACATTCAGACCTGGGGGGCTGGCCCGGCCCCTCCCACAGCAGAGAGAGAGGGTTCTTGGGAAAAGCTTGGCGGGTCTGGTCCCTGGAGTCACTGGGCCTGTTAACCCCCTCCCTCTCCCTCAGCTGGTGCAGACCCACCCTGTGTGCTCGCCCCATGCGGGCATGTGAGCTGCCCACACCTCTTTCTGAGGGAAATAGCGTTCATATCTAAGGCTTTTCTCACCGACAACGCCTCTTCCCACCGGGCCCGGCCCTGACTGGCAGCTCCGTGCACTGTGACGTCCTAAATCCGGAACGCCTTGGGGCCTCCCAGTTCCCCTGCCAAAGCCCAAGGTCACGCTTTCTTACGCTGCTGCCTTCCAGAAGCTTCTGCCCAATCATAACTCTCTTAGGGTGGGTCCCAAGTGTGCATGGTTTTTAAATGTCTCCTGCTTTGCAAGCACAGCTCCCACCTCCCAGCTTTCTGCTGAGCTTGCTGCTCAGGTGCTGAGTGCCAGGGGATCAAACACCGCTGCCCAGGGGGCCCTGCTCTTGGGCACTGGCTCTCAGAACGCTGCTACCCCTGGGGGATGGGGGTGGGGCACTGCCATCGCTCGCCCAGCCCAAAATCCAGTCTCTCCCTTTAAGAACATTTCCTAAGAGGGCTTGGAGTGTGGCTGTCAGTTCCAGGACTGGAGATCTGGGCTTGCCTCCCACCCTGCCCTCCGCCCTAGGCCTCAGGCTCCCTCCGTGTGAGGACCGGGTGAGGTCATGCACGGAAAGCCTGTCACAGCGCCTGAGCTCTCTGCGAACGGCAGGGGCTTCGCTCAGCCACCGGTTTGTGTGTGAGACAGCAGATGCACCAGAGGCTGAGTGTAAAGCGAGCTCGCCTCGTCTCTGTCTCACTCAGGAACCCGTCCATGTAGCGTTCAGATACCCAGGCCTGGGCCTGTACTCATCCGGGCAGGGCTGAGGTCCACACCGGAGTTCCAAGTCACTGGGAGTAAGTTGAAGGGTAATTGGTTCTGTATGGCGAGTCGGGAATTGGGGTTGGCTGGGAGTGAGCTGGGTGTGTCTCCTCGGGTTAAAGGAATACTCCACACGGCTTACTGGAATCCTTCTTCCTGTCCCGTTAGATTCCCTGTCTAGTGGGTCACGCCTAAACCTCCAAGTCACCACCCTGCCATGGGAAATGGGGCTGCCCCCTGTTCTGGAGCCACACCCGTGGACCCTCATTCTCTCTTCCCGCCTTTCTGATCCACACGCCAGCTTCTGAGAGCCACCCGGCTGCCCAGAGGGAGGGGGACGCTGGGAGGGTCAGGGGGTCTCTACCCAGATGAGCAGGAGCCAGGCAGGCCACCTAGGTTGCCCGAGAGCCTTCCAAGGCCTGGAGGAGGGCTCTGAGGCCCTGAGGGGATGAGCGGGCCGATATAGGGACCCAGTGCATTCCATGGGGATCTTATGGATTCCATGGGGACACTGCACAGCCGCCGCTTTCCTGGGCGCAGTCCGTGTAGGTTTGGGGCTGACTGGGGCTGCGGTGCAGACTCTCCCCGGGAGCAGGTTCTGCTCTCCGCCTGCCCTCTACCGGGTCCCCCAAACCTGCTCTCAGCCTCAGTGTTGTTGTTTTTTTTTAAATCAAAATTGTCCCTAAGCCTGCATTCCTCACCCAGTTGTCGGAGCAAGAACCATAAGTCACTTTAAAATGT